AATCATCGACGCTGGTTTCCATTGAAAATGGTCTCTTGATCCCCGGGGGTATAATCTGCATGAAAGCCCGAACCAAAGAGGGGAATGAACTGACAACCGATTGATTGATTACAAAACTCGTTCGGCGCTCCGATTTGGCTTGGGGCTAGGGTTGCACCTGTTGGAAAGGGGCGGCGGACTCTGACCTGTTAACAAATGAAAGTCACTTGGATGGGAAACAACCGCCACGCGCATGGCCGGCATGAACTCCAGAACGCTGCGCACTGAACTTGTCGTCTCAGACAAGAATTCGAAGTAGCCACGCATGAACGCGCACATTTGACCACGCATGCTGCTGGAGAGAATCGTGGGGAGAGGATCGTCAAAAATACCGTCTGTCTGCGAAACGATGCCATCGTGATTCTCCGGGATGAAGGAAGCAAGTCTGCTACCCCCAGATTTGTTTCTCCTTGCAATCGCTTCAGTCCCAATAGAAAGTGGGGGCTCGAGGGTGTTGCAAAGGATTACCCGTCCACCCTGAGCTTTTACGGCTTCATCAGCAAGATAAGCCACTGAAACATCGTGGAAGCACAGACGACACGTCTTCCCAAGACCTCTCCAGTTGCAGTGCAGATCCCCGTAGAGCCCACTTCCACATCGATAGTCACACACCTGTAGAGGCGCATGTGACACGAATATGGCAACAGGTCATCGTGCGAAAGTCGCGGCAGGGGGATTGCACTAATCCCGATCAATTCCGTGCGTGCTTGTTGTTCCTTAAGAGCAACGTCATATATCATCCGTGGTGTCCCGACTACAGTACAACCACCGACGCTCTTCAGAAATGTTTGCCTGACACTGCAGCAGTCACTCGCGCCGCTAAGCATGTGGTCAAGCGAAGACCGGGCTAGGCTTCCCGTTGAAAGAACGACGACAGACGGGATCCGGATGCTGTTGGTCGCACGCGAACCTGTTTTAGCGACGCTGTTAATTGCCATGACACAAAATGACAAGCTACGTAATTTGTCCCAAGACTGAACAATAACTGACAATAACTTATTGAATGAGCTTGCTACCTACGCACGTGCCTCGCCGTGGGTCATTGCGAGTGTGAGCACGACAGAGGCCCACGGAGTACGCGTCAGCAAGCCGGAGGACTGCGGCGCCCGACATCATTTACGCACAAGAAAGTCTAGTGTCTACCAGGATCGACACGGCAAAGAACATATTATGACATGTGAAAGCAAAGTGTGAAATTATAGGCTACGTGCACACCTACGGTAGAGTTTCTCGAATGAACGCACGTCCCCCACGAAAGTGCCGAAACAACCAATATCTCATGAGAGCCATTTGAAAAGTTATGTGAGATTGTGCTAGAACAGTCAACAACAACATAGATTGACAACGAAGACATTCCAAACAACAAATGCACCCATCCTCCATGGGTAGCACGATCGACGACGCAGCTCACCGTGTCGATGATGTCCTCACACCCAGCAGAGCAGCTTGGACCGGAGGGTGGGTTCCTCGTGCCGCACATGACGACATGGGCATCCGACGCCGAGGTACTTACGGAGGACAACGCAAGCATGCTTTCTTCGGCCGAGGCCTCCTCACTGTTGGTGTAGCAAAGCCGATAGTTGCTGCCATACTGTGAAGCATTGCCTGCGCCACAGTTGTGACCCCCGAAGCGTGGTCCTGTCGATGACCATTCCACAGAGCAGCTTTCGTCGAAGATTGTAGAGATACCTGCCGATTTCCCAGAGGAGGGTCTTGAACCACGACCATCAGTGCAGTTGCTGCTGCTATGACGTGGTCTAGGCGCATGCTTCACGGGAGAAGACACGACACTCCCACCACTGCGCGTACTGCCGTGGATGAACAACGTGTCTTGTGGAACCGCTTTTTCCACATGCTTGTCGTTGGTGTCGAAAAATCCGATGTTCGATATCTGCGTTGATACAGACAAGATCCGCGGAAGATGACCCGCCGGAAACCTTTGGAGGTGACGTATGCGGTCATGTTCGTTCGACACTGTTAAGATGTGCAGCATATCCATTAGTCTATGCTACTGTAGCATAGTGGATATATGCTGGACATCTTAAATGAACTACAACCGGGGTCCTTGAACTTGATACAGCCGTCCTACCTCGGAATGAACCCCAGGGGTGTAATCCCTGTAATCAGCGCTGCGTCACGCGGTTCGTCGACTATAGACGGAAGTGTGTGTCTTTACTTGGACGACTGGAATACGTACCGCCTTTGAGACGTATCCCAGACTTTTTGCCCGGGAGAAATGGCGTCTCAAACTGTCCACGAGGGATTCGAACCCAGATTATATCATTGCTAAGATGCGCAGCATGTCCACCATGTATATTAGTAGATGTGCTGTACATCTTAACAGATACATATCAGCAGCAGGCGAAGGGGGTGTATTGAAGACTTACGGTGAGTGAAAAATTATGACGCTGTGTATGTTTTGTCCATTACATCATGTAGTCGATAGTTTCAGTGATGCCAGCTGGTGCTTGTCACCAGAACGTCTGTGTGTATTTAGGTTAAAATAATTCTAAGCTACACCCCCTGTAGGTCTTTGCTAGGTAAATCAAAAACACTTGCGGGAAAATCGAATCGCAAGAGGGTGCCCGAAGGTTGTTGGTCAATTCCATGAAATGCTTCGTAGAACGCCATGCATGGAGGTCCGTGGAGGCCGGTGAACCTCCATGGAGGTCCCCGGTGCTCCGCACAATCTTCCGTGGTTTTCAATGGAATATCCTGTGAATGGCAGTGGCTTGCCGTAACTTAGATTATTTTTCCGTGGAATTCATGGAAGGAAGTAGTCGACGTAACCTTAGACCTTCCACTCGGAAAGATAGTCGCCAGCAATTGGGTTTTCCGGTAGAACATGCAAATAGCGGATGAGACAACGAGGCACCCATCAAGAAGTGTAGTACGAACGTTACCAGTTCGAACGGTCTGACGCGGGTTCCGCTGCTCGGCGTCGGTGTGTCCCGAAAACTCGTAAGAAACGCCCACACAAACGTACCATTAGCGCCAGACGATGCAAGAAAGTTCTGCCACGTGATAGACGATATCCTTGTGGCTGACTTCAGACAAACGTTCGGTTGGGCAAGTTCCTCCGGGTTCTGGGGCGTCATGGCCGTGACAGTAAAGCATTTACACTGAAATGCTAGCATGACCACGGTGTGAAACGATTTTGACGAAAGGATAGCCATTATGTCACACGTCACAAAAGTAGACTCATGGGACAATAATAGGTGTTACCCACACAAGTGCCCTCGAAGCCACCAAAAAGCCGCACACAGGCGGTGCTGTAGGATCGACGACGACTTAATTTGTGGAGAATACGTGACTACTAGAACTTAGCCACCAATTGTCAACCTAACACGTATGTATGGAGTGGGCTTAGCGTTAAGGTTTGGGTTATCGCTATGTAGTGTTATTATAAATATGCGCATCTTAATGGAATTCCTCCTGCGACCGGACGAAGGGCACATCAATGCGACGCCACCGGGCCAAGTGCCACGCAAGGGCTGTGAACAAGTCTTAGCAAAGGCAACCACCCTCAGCCATAAACGAACGTGTTTTCTAAGTTATGTTGTTTCGGATACATTCGGTCGATGCACCCACCCCCAAAAAAGAGACAAACAATTGACGCGTACACATGCTGTGTAGGCCAAGTGCGTCCAAACGCATCGTACGCACGAGGCGTCGGAAACGATTCTTCAAACTACTGCTGATAGAAGCATATAATAAAGCGACGAGATCAAGAAGTTCACGTTCGCACTGCAGCACCAGCAGCACCAAGTACAGCGGTAGTAGGTGATTGATGATGGATCAGAGCCTTTTTTTTTCACGCCGTCAAATAGCAGTCAAACTCGTTCCTCCCGCGTTGCTACAGTACACAGCAGAGACTCCTGCATACATCACTTATAAAGTTGCAATCGTGACCTCCGTGGGATGGTTTACGCCCCAACCACATTTATCGAACTACGTCTGCTTCTCCTGTTGGAGAGCTTGGTGCGCCGGGCGCAGTTGTAGACGGCAAAAATAAAAGAACCGCGCGGCGAGTTTACCGGCAACGATGAAATACAGTTAACTGCCTGCGGGTGTGGTAACCCGCCGCATCTGTGATGTTTCGGGGCGTGATGGCTCTGATGTGTTGACGATGGTGTTGTGATAGCTGTTGTGATGGCGTGATAGCCTAGAGGCGTGACAGCCTGGCCGCTTGATAGCTGGTGGTTGTATAGGATGGACACGGGCGTGATAGCCCAGAGCGTGATAGCCGGGCAAAGGAAGATGAAAATTATCCAAGGGCACGTGGTTGCAGACACGTATACCCAGAAAACAACTATATGTGGCAAAGATGGTACCGCCATTCCCCCAATTTATCACAACTGCGGAACCCCCAAAATCCCCCGCTCCATCTGCTCGGAACGTTCCTTGATTGCGATAATCTGTCAATGCTGTGAGTACATCCAACAGCCTCCCTGCTCACTGCATTGTCAAGATTACTCCCGACTTACGTATCACGCAACACCCATCCCGAACACTCCAGAAATCAATGTCAATGTGCAAGAAGAGTCGTATCTCCTCCTATTTCTCTTGCAACGAAAATAATCCATTCACCCAGAAACACTAGTTTGAATTTCCATTGGTCGCAAACCATCAATCCGGCAATACCCACCAGAACCTCCATCGGTCTCCATTGTATCCAGAATCTCCAATGATAAAAACATGAAAAACCATTAAACCAGATACATACACTGATTGACATTCCATCGGTTGCAACCATTCAGCCAGGAAAACAACCAAGAATCCATCGGTTGCTCATGAATTCGAAATCCCCAATATCAAATTATCATCATGATTGCAAAAATAAATGCTCTTCTTCTACTCCGTGCATCATCCTCAAAACAACACGAAGACCTTTGAACCAACAAGACCACTTCAAAGTATTTCCTATCGGCCAGTCTTCAGCTCAACATTCAACGAACATCAAGAAAATCCAACCGAGCATTACACCAAAAACACTTGAAAGTATCTCCTATCGGTCAACCTTCAATTCCAATGTCCAAAAGAATATCACGAAAATCCAACCCACCATTAAACCAAAAACTCTGAAGTACTTCCTGTCGGCCGGTCTTGATTTCAATACTCAACGAACATCACGAAAATCCAATCGACCATAGAACCAAAAACACTGCTGCAGCATGTATTTTATATCTATCTGTCAATCTTGAATCCGATGTCCAAAAGAATGCCATGAAGATACAAACCAACACAGAGGACCTCGACAGTACCGAACGCCAAACCTGCCTTAGGAACGAAATGTCCTCGAAACATGTGACATCGCTACACATGCTGCCTGGGTGGTTGACAGCGTGACGTAAGTTGGAGTCGGGGATTGCCACAAGAAAGCCCCCCCCCCTCCTCTGGCACTAGTCACCCTACGCATATAACTGTCGAGGAAAACTGTTCCAACGTAGTCAGGCACAGTTTACCATAGGTGCGACTGCGGCAACTAGCCTTCCGTAGACATAAATGAGCACCCCTCAAACGCGAAGTGTTGACACGAATGGCCCGACAGCAAGAAGAATAATGTACCTGTTTTGTAAGAAAAAATCGGGAAAATACTCTCGCGCATGGCATGCTCTTCCAAGAGAGCTACAAACATAATGTGAGACAGCAGGGTACTTTCATCAGGTTCAGCAAAAAAAAGAACGTCACTCGGCCGCTCACCCAAAATCAGTTGATCCGTGCATGTAGGCGGGCGAAAGGATTTCAGAAACAACCACGCAGTCCCGCCCAACCCTCCCCCCCTCTCCCTCGAGCGCCCGCACACATCCCACACGCTGCACGCCGGCACCCCATCGCTCCATCAACTCCACCCATCCCAAATGCTCAGGAAAACACTACCTCCTCTCCGCGTGTGTCCGCGTGTATCCGGAGCATGCAAATGACTATAACTGTTTCCAATTCGCCGCAACGTGTATTCATTTCGTCTACCCCATCAACCTCATCGAATATGTAGATCTCCAGTGGCAAAGCGCACACTCTCTCCGCAAAGCCCTGGAGGATCACTGCCCGAAATCCTCTGGAGGATCGTCGGAAGAAATACTCCGCGGGGAACACATTACAACTTCCTCCAGAGGATTTCGGACTTTTATCCTCCGAGCATTCGGTGGGGGGTTTTCCTCTGAGGGAATAACCTTTTTACCAAGTCAGAGCTTTTTTTTTTTGGGCAATCCTCTATAGGATTTGGTTTGACCTACCCTCTGAGAGGATTTGGTTTCACCTATCCTCTGAGAGGATTTGGTTTCACCTATCCTCTGGGGGATTAGGTACTGTTTCCCTCGCCGTGGATAATTGCAAACAAACCTCTAGAGGGGTGGTAAAACGGTAACCTCTGGGAAGGAGGGGAGGTGAAAATCCTCTGGCGGGTTGGGTAATGTTTTCTCCGCCGTGGATTATTACAAAGAACAACCTCGAGAGGGACGGCCAGAGAACTTCCCCGTGAGTAAGTGGGGGACAATTAGTGTGCAGGAGGATGTGGCGATGCGCCTCTTCCAGGAGAGAGGCTGCTGGGAACAACGCAGCCGATGTTGTTCACGTTCACGTGTTGTCCCTCTCTAAAAATGCCCTCGTTACTTAGAAGCAACACCCACAAGGTAGGTGAGCACAGAAAGCAATAATACATGGCGTAAGGAAGTGCCACATCCGTTGATATTGAAGAAGGTCTAGTACTTCTTTTTCTCTTTGCAAACTAACGGCTCTCCACGGAATCCCTGCAACGAAAAACAAGACGAAATTCACGACAACGACGAAGGAAAAGGGCTACCTATATACGTAGGAGCTAAATAGAACTGCTATCAACAAAAACGAAAATATCCAATTTTAAAATATTTACACCAGAGGGTACCGAGCACAATACTTGGCTGTGCTCACACCGCCCAACATTGTGTCGCTAAGTTTTCCCGCAAGGGAAAAGTACCGAAAAGGGCGAGAGCGACCAAGAAAAAGGACAGATAAAATTCCCCTACACCAGCAGCGCAAAGTGCTACTTTGCTGCTATTTGCACGACCAGCATTCCTCACATCGCCACGCTGCAAGACAACCCCCGCCAACTGTAAAAGACGAGCTGCAACTGCTGTGTGTGCATGGTATTAGTACACGGCGTTGCTGAAAACATCACTAGTATACACGTACAGGCATAATGCTGTGCCCGAAAATCTGTGCGACTAAAGAAAAAACACCATCCATGGGCTCATGGGCTGGACGAACCCAACCATTTTTGGTCACTATGTCTCGCGCTGTGATACGGAATATGACCCCGAAAAATACTTGTGCGACTTCCCGCATACTTAGTCAGCCTTACTATCACCGTTAACCCCAACCCTAGTCAGCCGTACGAACACCACTACCGGATGCCCCTCCTTCATCCGTCATTTCTTTGTTGATACGCTCGGAGAGGACTGCATCCTCGTCAGCACCACGCTGCTCGCCCGCCTCGACGTTACCGCGGTTGGTGCCGCGGTCGCCGCCCGAGCCATCGCCGCCCGGGCCATCGCCTCCCAAGCCATTGCCGTCTTCTTCGCCGTCAATTTCGTTGCCGTCGTTGTCGAAGCCCGGACCGTTGGTGGGGTCTGTGTATACCGAAGATTTGGGGAAGGGGGGTAGACGAACGGGAGCCAGCGCGGAACAAAACGGTCACCAAGAGGAAGA